CCCCCCCCCCCCATATGGTTACATTACGGACCCCCCCCCCACACGGTACATTTCCAATACGCATATTTGCGCTTGCTGAGGATTACCTTCTGCGGCGGCTCACGCAGCTTCAGGCCGTGTCCTTGGCTACAAAATAAGCCCCGAGAGGTCTGAGAAGACTGAGAAGACGAAGAAGCAAGAGGTAAAGATGGAGCTGTGTGCGCCAACTGCTCTTCCTTGACCTTGGTCCAGGATCGGCGCGCCTTCTTGGAAGCAGGCTTGATATAGACCACCTCTATGTCACTGTCGCTATCTTCTTCCTCCTCCTTGACGTTGGCTGGACCTTCAACCTGACTTCCAGAGTCCGACACCGCAGCCGGCGCGTTGTCAGGGCCGCTGGCTGGCGGCACGGCGGCTCCAACGCCGCAGCCGGCGGATTGTCAGAGCCGGTGGGTCCCTGCGCAGTGTTGCAGGAGTTTATAAGGACGCGCGCTCGGTTCGCGGCTCGAGTCGCACCCTCGCACGAACACGGTACGAGGGCAGGCACGGAGTCACGATTGCCGTGACATCTGACATGCAACTGCGAAGAGAATGCGATGATGCTGCTGCTGCTGCTGCTGCTGCTGCTGCTGAGGCGACTGCTGCTGCTGCTACTGCTGCTACTGCTACTGCTGCTGCTGCTGCTTCCGTTGTTCGGGATTGAGGGTTTGGGCTGCATCTGTGGAGGCAGTGTGGAGGACATGTGCTGGCAGCAACAAAAAGGCAAGACCGAGACATCCCTTGCCTTCGTTGTCGCTCACCCCTCAAGCTCCTACTGCTACTCAGCTGCTGCTCGCCCCACTGGCAGCAGTTATTTAAGATGCAAAGGCCGCGCCCGGGCAACTCTGGAGCGGCGCCGCATTGCCTGCGACATCTCGCGGAAGAACTGCGGGATCTTGCTTCGCTTTCCCGGCAACGGCACTAGATTCTGGAACCGATCAAAGACGAAGCACTGGAAGCTCAGAGGCGTGCTGTCCTTCGGGCACGAGTCACGAGCGACTGTAAGTAGTTTAAAGCCTCCGACTCCCACTTCTCCAGCATGGGCAACGAGTGGCCAGTCGCATGCTCATGCCACTTCCGCAGCTCATCTGCATAGGCCGCGATGTTGCGGCGCCCCAATGCATTCTGTGGCAAATGCTCCACCGTCCAGTACACCACAGTCGTCCTTCTTCTTGGCCGACTCCACCGGAGGCACTTTGGCACGCAGTGTCAGCAGCGCTGACACCACGTCAGAGTCCAGAGCAAAGCGAAGCCTGATCAGGGGCGCAGGACTGACGAACTTTTACGTACCCGGCCCATGAACTGCCTACACAGCATGCCACAGACCCACATTGTGCAGCGGCAGCCTCAACCTGCTCTCCTCGAAGCGCGCCTTTCCGGGGTTGATCTCGCCCAGGATGGTGCCCTCGTTGGAGATCGGGTCCAGCATGACTATCGGATTGCAGCAGCTGGCTTCGAAGATTGTCTGGGCTTCACTCTCCGGCTGCTCGTCGGCCAGTCAAAAGGCAATGCAGCTTGCTGCAGTACTCGCACTCGAGAGGATCAGCCACAATCTTACAGACGGTCAAGGATTTCTTGGCATTCAGCCCGCGAAAAAGCGCTCCTCGGAAGACGCTCAGCACCAGACCAATCTTGCATCTGTCACCCGCGTGAACACGCATGGCTAGGAGCTGATAGGTCCTCTTTTCACAGGAATCGGGGCATCTGCGCTGCAACCCGTCCCCCCATAAAAGCTGCTGTCAGGCTATACCGTAATTGTAGGCAGACCCAACCCCACAGAAAAATGCATTTCGGGCCTAGGTTTGGGTCCCCAGTCTATTTAAACCAATGCAGCAGGTCGCGCTTCACAGTGCGCTTGTGGAAGGAGGTCCAGAGCTGAGCTCGGCTCTGCCACGATGCACAACTGATGTGCGCTGGTTGGCTCTTGGCCAACTCGTGCTCCATCTTCTGCTGTGCCAGACCAGCGCTCGCGGCTGCGACATGGCCGAGATGTCTATGTGTGTGCACAGCGTCATCCGGATTGTGTGGATTCCGGACTGGATGCCAGGAAATCGCTGGCCGCCGGCAAAAACATGAATTCCGAGTCCTGACAAATATGGCGGGGAGCGACACAGACGACGGCCAACGGGGATGGAAAGTTGCTAAACTTTTGCTAGGCCGACCAAGGAAATGTATATAAGGTGGGGGAGCGGGTTTTGAAGCGTCCCGGAAGATCCCCCAAGATTTGGACGGTCGACACTACCCAACCAAGGAAAAGTACACCAGGCTGGGGATCCCTCCACTTGTCAGGGCGGCCCTCTGAGAACAGCCGAACCCCCCCACAGATTACATTCACAAGGGTCCCCCGAGAGTATGCTAGTACATTGGTAACGTTGTAGCATGACTGTGGCAAGGTAGGTAGTCAGGGTGTATATTTACATATATATATATAT